TTGTAATAAATATAATTGCAAAATGCCTATTGTTATATTTTTCATGACTGGATAGAACTCTTTTCTTTTTGCCATGTGATTCATTTCAAGAGAGGTTATGCCAAGTTCTGCCTTAGAATCATTGGAGATTCACCCTTGGGAAATGCTTTGTCACAAACTTGGCAGGAAACACTCAGCCATTGCTTTCTCAGAATTCATCCAAAGAAAGTGCCTTTGATTGAGAGTCAAGCACTTTCTTTTGAGAAAATGCCATACTTCCCCCCCGTTTTGTAAGGAATCTAAGCTCTCTTGTAATGTCTTAGAAAATAGTATAATATATAGAAATATTTTTTTCTTCTTCTCTCTTAGGAAATTTCTCAGAGTTCTTCCTCTACCAAGTGAAAACTGGAGTGCTTTAGTTGAAGAGTGGTGTTGTCACCCTGACCCCTTTGCCAGAAGCACTTTATACCCTCAGCATGACGACTGTCTTCTTGGAGACACTTTTTTTCTGTTGAATTCAGGAAATGAATCACATGTGCCTGAATCTCCCATGTGCTGCTCAGAGACTGGACACCATGCTTCCCAGACTGACCCCAACTTGGTAAAGTATTTTGTTTGAATAATTCTTAAGTGAATGTATTTGGACTTTTCTCGTTGTAAAACACTTTTTTGTCACTGGTTTATTTAACTTGTATATATTACAGAGCTGTTTTGGAGGTCATAGGGAGTTGTTGACATTCAGTTGTACTGAAGCCAGAAAATATTCTAAGCTATGATTTAGATTTTCTGAAGTATGCACCATGGTCTTGATATTGACCTAGATATGCAAGAAGAATTTCTTCCTGTAAACTGAATTAGAAACTATTTAATTGTGTAGTTCTAAACCCAAATATTTTCCCCAAAAAATATCCTGAGTGAAGAACATCAGCATTTTGTAAGATAATAACTGTAATGGGTTAGGTGTTTGTCAAAGGGTAACGGAGTGAAGAATGAGGAGGAAACTGGAGTGACAGTGCTTTTTCTTCTCAAACTATGACTGGTTGCATAACCATAAATATGAACAAAGGAAGATGTGATTTTTTTAATTTCTTTTCTCTTTTTTTAGCTTTAGAAAGACTTGGAAAAATCAGAATGTGTTTTGGGTTCTGATGTGGCTGCCTTACACTCTTAGAATATTGTAAGGAGTTTGTTTGACTGCTCTGCCTAGTGAAAGGGACCTGCCACCCCAGGTTATAACTCTTCATGTTGATGTTTCTTAGGTGTACCAGGAGGGGATATATCCATCAGCTGAGTCTCTAGGAAGAGGGCTATCATTTGTCTTAGAAACATCAACATTTGTTGTTGCCCAGGAAAAAAACCCAAACATTTGTAGGCATACTGTTGTGTCAATGATGGAATAAAACCCATGAAGAAAGAAAATTCAGTGCTTTACTCATCTTGGAAATCTAGCACTGGTACAAAAGTTCAAGCAGTAATCTTTTCTTCCGCCCGAAGAATATCCAGGAACTTAGTTCACCAAAGCCTATATTTCCATAAATTATTTTCTGTTAATCTGCTGCTTGTGTGTATTTGTACTGGCAAAGGTTGGGCCTGCAGATACCATCTTTTCTTCCAATACCATGTATTAAACCTAATTACTGAAATCCTCCTACAATTACGGGAACTGTTGCTGCCTTGGCAACTTTTGTCTGTAACAGCTGATGACTTGCTATGTACAGATTCCCAGCATGAAACTTTTAATCTGTTGAGAAGTAACACCAGAGACCCTGATTCCTGTCTGCTGCTGCTGCTTATCATCATTAGGGTTTTGTATTATCCCCAGTTAAATCACTTGGATTCTTGCAGTTCAAAGGTTGCTGGTGCAGTGCGTCCAAGTGAGCCATCTGTTTGGGGAACAGTTCTGTCCTACGGTCCATATCTGCAAGTCTTGCAGCTGTGGTCCCTTTGGTTTCTTGTTCCATTGTTCTTTGAAAAGCAGAATATGGGGAGGGGAAAATAAGAACTGATACCCTGAAAGGATATCAGCATGGGAGAAGCAGATTAATTTGGATTAACTCTGTGGCAATTGGAGTCATTTCTTCTAAGTATCCTTAAGAAGGAAGCTGAGCAGAAGATTCTGAATTTCCAAGAGGACAATGGCTTCTGCCAGAGGTTCCCAAAATGAATTATCTCACTTTTCAGTGATCTCAAAGAATGGGAACAAAGACGGGAAGAGGCAGGGTGCATGGAGTTCATATTGCAGTCTAAAGACAGGAGAGCAGTCTGCCCAACACACTTCTTCAATTGATCAAAGAGAATGTTTGCTGGAAAAGGGTTGTTTTTGAGGCAGACACATGATAAAAGGATGTGGGACAAAGATGTTACGGAGATGTGGGTCAAACCAGGATAACAGCAGAACTTTTGAATGAGTGAGGAGGCTATTTTCTGTCAGAGGCAAACAATAGTAGTTTAGTGTGATGAATTTTCATGTTTGCTTCCTTAAACTTGCATTGAAGTAGAGAATTCACTCCTTGTTTGTGTCAAATCCCTCTTTCTACGTCTTTCACACTTGCAATGAATTCTCATTTCTGTGTTTGCTTATTTCCAGCATCACTCAGTTGCCAAGCAAATGAGCAAAACTGTAAGATCCAGCAGAAACTGGACTAATAAGGGAAAAAACCCTCATACTGAAACAGAAAATTCTTCCATAACATGAGTAATAGGAAGTTACAGCCAAGATAGATTGCTATTGGCATAAATGTTCTCATTTCAAAGAATATTGTTGCAGCCTGCCCCAGTATGAAAGTTCTTTTTTAATTGCATTGCAGTTCTTTGGAAAGTGTTTGCCTATGACCAAAATAGTAGCTGGAATGTACCAGAGATGCTTAAGCAATCTTTTCCAGCCTCCAGTGGGACCAAGACAGCATCCGTCCATTGCAAACATATTTCTCACATCTATTAGTCTTCCAGTGTAACACAGTTTTTAAATGTCACATGGTCTTGCAGCATCCTAATAGTATCTCTTGGGGGGAAGTATTTTCCCTGACACCGTATCAGGGATCCTTAGGAATAGAAACAGAAAATATTAGGCTGGTGATCCACCTCCATCTGCAGATTGCCAGCAGCTGCAAGTTGTCAAATAGATATATTGATTTAATTAGTCTAGCTAAAACCATCGGTTTTTCCATTGAAGCATGATATGACGAGTTACCGGTGTTTTTTAGGTACCATACTGCACAATTCTCAGCTAGCACCTGTAACTGCAGTCAGAAAATAACATTCAAGTTGTAGCTTTCAAGGAAGTACTATATATTGTATACTTGTACTGTGCAATATTTTACCAACCTCAAATAATGGTTTTCACAAAACCCTGTCTGCTTATCCTTGCTCTTCATGTTAAGTGAGTAATTTTACTGTGTACGTTTGAGAGGAGTAGCAAGGTAGGAATTGGGAAAGGGGATAACTGCATATATATAAACCAGATGTTTTTTTCTGATCTCCAGAACAAGGGGGCTGTACCTCCAACATAGTCAGCTTTCTGAAGCTTTAACAGAGGCTGTCGGGCTCTCCCTGGGGCTTTTAGTTTGATTCCTAGTTTGTGAGGAACAAGAAGGACCTTGTGATCAGAAGTTCAGATTCCATGTGGGACGCTTTCTGTTTTTCATGGAGCTACAGTGGTCCTTTCTGCTTATTTATTATTTGCATAGTACAGATCAGAGAACTCTGTTAGGTATTTCCACCATCAAACCCATCAGTTCTGTCTGAGCTATAGCTTTGAGATAGACATCCAGTATTGATTTAATACTTCGAATGATGGAAGCTTTATCGCATTTCTTGGTAAGCTGTTTCAGTGGTTAATCATCCTGATTCTTTGCTGCCTTCTTATTAAATTAAGCACACGACAAATTGCAGCTCTGTATCTCTTTTTATCTCTAAGATGTATTTATTTTCTAGAAATTATTTTTGTAACAGTTTTCCAAACCATTTTCCAAATTTTTAACATATGTTATAGATCCATTTTTGCAGTAATCATCTCACTAATTCTGAAGACGATATGGATAAACAGAAAAATATAACAATTATTCAGTTGTTCATGCTTTCAGGGATCATATTTGCCCTTTTATTTTGTAGCATCTCATTAGTAACTCTGGTTTGCTTAGCTATCATCGTCTAAATTCTTTTGATTTTTGCTGTCTTCCAGTATGTATTCCTTTATTTTATCATCGCTGACTTTGTTATTCCTGTTGTTCCCGAATATATGATCTGGCATTTGGCTATATTTTAGTGCAGATTGTTAGACTAAACACAACTTCTTAATGATCCAGACTGGTGTATAACTCCTCTATCTCCCTCGTTCACCCCTTCCCTAACACTGGGGCAAGAAGTACTTACACTTTTCCATAGAGGAACTGAAAAAATTGGCCCAGCGTGTCTATTTGACTTACTTATAATCTCTTTCATCGCTGGCCTAATCACATGTCCTTCAAGGCACCTGAATTAGAATAAATCAATTAACAAAGCATTATTCAATTTTTGATTAGGATAATTGTGCTTGGAAATCTGCATAGTCTGAAAGTCCACAATCCAGGTTCTGAAGACAGTCTGTAATGGACATACCTCCAAATGAAAAGTGTATCTGACATAGCTAGGGCCATTGGATTTACTTCATGCCACTTTTTAATTATTTTTTTAATAATTTTGTGATGTGATAGGCCACAGAGCACCACTTTTTGTTCTGTACATCAGTCTGACACATCATCATCGTACATTTTAAAAGTCAAATACTAAGGACTATGATAGTGGTAATGCAGAAAATCTATGCTCCCCAAAGAGCACATGTGCGTTCACTCCAGTTAGAATCCATGGCAACCATCGCCATCTTTTACAGAGGTTACAGAAAAAGATAAATCTGGAGGGTTTTTCCCCTCAACTAGTTTCATTTATGCTAAATTTAGATATTATTGTTGTAGGCATGTGCTGCAATATAGTTTCTCAAGTTGATAGTGACTTGTTCGGACCTATAAACCAAGCCAATAAAAGCAGTAGTTGTTTAACTACACATTGGTATTTTTATGCACTGTGTACTGTATGAACAATTATAAAGGTGATTATACAAAGACCACATATAAAAGTTCAGTTTAGGTGTCCTCTCATTACATTCTCAGAATTTCTAGCTCCAGACAGGTTGATTAACTCAGGAGCATTATTGTAGTAGTATATACATACTGCTGCCAGACCAGAGCTGTACTGTGCTACACCCAGGTTAATAAGCCCACACAGAACCAGTTCTGGAGTTTAGACTTTGGATTAAAGTAGGAGTTGTACTTACTTGTATCTTTATACTGATACTGAATTTATATATTAACACTGGAATTAGTAGGAGTGTTACTAGTGCAGATGACAGGTTCATCCAGAAATGAGATCTTTTTCAGTGGGCAGTAATGGCAAGTATTGAGTGATGTTTTGGTTATTGTAGAGACTTCTTGAACTAGATGTTGTTATCCGCACTTTTTGTTCTTAATAAGCCCTCGATGAACATTGCTTCCTCTGAATTTCTGAAGACTTTTTGAACTTATGTATAGTTTTAATATGAAAAATACTTTCCTGTAGTGAGTACCAAACTATATTGTGCACTATGTGACAAATACTTTCCTTTTCTTTGATACAAACCAGGTTATAATGTCATAGCATGACCTGTGAGAGTAAATGTTTTTTTCCTCTTCAGCTTTTCCTAAACATTCGTGGTTTTATATGTCTCAGTGATACCCCTCAGTTTTGTCTTTCGCACTTTCTCCCATTACTTGTGTTTTATTGCCACATATGGAAACTGTTTTGCACCTCTGACAATTATTCTTATTCTTTGTCAATACCTTTTCTGTTACTGCTTGAATTGAGGGAGAGGGGTTGTTCGAGAACATAATCCACTGCACCTTTCTGGAATAGGTTGTGTTCTTTAGCTCTTACCTAGTAATTCAAAATACTTGGTGGACATTTTCTGCTCTCTGCTGAACATTGAACTGATATTTCTATAAAACTGTCTACAGTGGCTAGAACTTTTTACTGAGTGATGGTAGTCACATTGCAGCATAATATTTTATGTATGTATTTTGGAATACTTCTTTTCATGTGCATTATTTTGCCCTTATCAAAATCGAATTTCCCTTGTCATTCAGTCAGTCAATATTACGAGATTTTCCTGTGAGCTATTACAGGTTGGGCTGTGTGGTCAGTATATATTGCCAGATTTTAAAACTAGTATGAAACTTGCAAGCAAGTCAGCTTGCAAGAAAGCTGAAGTAGTGAATGCAAATCTGTGTGCCTGTAAACAAAGAAAACAGAAACAAGTACAAAGTTCACTATCTACTCTGGAGAGTATGTTAAAATTATACATTCCTGTTTCAGAATAACTGAGTGACATTTAAATGACATTTCTTTGTCCTACAGAAATCAAAGGAAAATACCAGAGTAATTTGTAAGCGCTGCAAGACAATGCTGGGAGAAACAGTATCATCAGGTATGGGCTGTACCAACCAATCTAGACTTCACTGCATCAGCAATTGAGCACTGGAGGAAAGTATTTTATCAGTAAGGTGCAGGGCTCATTCCTTTGTGTTTGTCTCACTTATTCCCTTCTGGAACAGATAAAGTTGTTGCTTCCACTGTTAGACCTTGAAAGTGACTTACGACAGGGATTTTCCTCGTCCTTGTTTCTGTGGTGTATTTGCTTGATTCCAAAGCTTTGGAAGACTCAGTGCATGATTCCACTTTACTAGGAATACCAGTAAAAAAGGAGACATGGGAAATTACAGGGTTTTTATTTTGCTGTCAGTCCTACAGAATAATGGAAAGGTTAATTCAGAACTTGATCAATGCAGAACTAGAAGCTAAAGATTGATTGCTAACAGCCAGCCTGGTTTCATGGAAAGGAAGCCTTGTCAAAGAAACAAGTTATCTCTCATCATTATCTGATGATGAGGTGATGAGATGATTGGTTTAAAAGCTGTCATTATATTGAATCAGCAGGGTTTACCTCAAGTAGTATAAAGATGAGTCTCTGGTGGTTTTTAAAAGGCAGTTATTAAAAAGAGAGAAGCAGTAATAAGATTGTTACTAGCGGGGTTTCATTCTTTCATTCTCTCTACTCCACTGCATCAGTCAGTGTGAGCTTGGCTTAGTTCAGAGATCTGGAGAATATAAAAACTTCTCAGAAAATGCAAAGCCTGTTTAAGAAATAAGTCATGAGGAGATGCAAGACTGAAGGTCTTCTGTTACAAAAGGTTCCAGTCGTCCTGTGCAGGGATCTGAACAGCACAGGTTTTAATAAAACCAAATTTAAGGTAAGATATCTGAAGGCCCACAAAGCAGATTGTGACTTTGGGAAGGCAGTGTTTGGAAAAGAGCTTCACAGATCATCGTGAATAATGAGTGCCGTAATCTAAGCCTTCAGACAGTTGTAGCAACCAGTAATTGATGTGATCAGTCGGTACGGGAAAATGCAATACTGTGTAGATGTGCAGGGATTTGGTCTGGACTCTGTACATGGCTGAAGTCAGATAGTATGTCCATTGTTTTGACCGTGTTTCTTCAGTACTATAGGAAATTTACATAGAGTTCAAAGAACAGAAAAAAAAATAACCAGAGATGTATGGTATACGTCTAGACAGAACCACCTCTGTGAGAGGAGACTAGAGAGCAGAGTTGACTGTCGTGCTTTGGTGCTTCCTCATGAGCAGATACCAGTGCCTTGAAGATAAAGCTGGATTAGAGTGGTGTAGCTGTGGAGGCCAGATTTGGCTTTGAAATTCCCCTGTCAGCTGTTCCTTCCCTGTATACTTGTATGATTTTATATTGGGAAATCCCACCTTCCATCTATCTCCCTGCAAGTAAACATCTCCTTAATTCCCAATGCCCTTGCAGCAGCAGCACCGATTGCTTACTCAGGGTAACAGCTGGGGAGCTGGAGTGACTGAACTGGCTTATTTTCCTCCAGTCTCTCAGGACTAGGCACAGCATGGAGCAAACTAAAATTAAACTTAGAGGTAAAATATAATTTCCTAACAGTGAAGATAATTAAAAAAGTGTAGTACTTATCTGGAGAAGGGGTGGGATTACCAAGCCTTTTGGAATTTTTACAACAGATTGTCTTCCTGAAATGCTTGCTTTCATCCAGTTTTAATGGTGTGTGTGGACAGAGATCAGACGAGGCAATCCCTTCCACCCTTAAAATCTATGGAGTCAATGAATTTTTACTGTGTTCACATGCTAAGGCTTAGTGGAATTAATTTATTACTCTACATGCTTAACTTCTTCTGCTGACCCTCTGGTTAGGCTGTGTTTGTAGCATAGACCCAGAGCTTCAATATTATCATCTTTGACCTGACTTTATTGATGGGGATTAAATTCTGTGCTCAAACACTTCCATTTAGTGTTAAAGACTATCGTAGCGGAGTTTTACCTTGAAACTCGGAATGTATGCGGTATTAGTGTTGAGTTAGTGCGATTTTTGTAAAGAAGTTCTATTCTGCTGTGTGCACTGTTATTAAAACTGTCTCTTATGATTCACTGCAGCATTACTGAGCAGCAGAGGGTACTAAAATACTTATGTAAGCTATGCTGATCTCAGTGCTTTAGGAAAGTTCTTTCAATTCATCTCTCAGGTTTGGCTTGAGCTCTTGCTTGCTTTGTTTCAAGATGATTGTTCCCAGCATTAAACAAGGATCAATATGAATGACAAATTACTGATCATGTAATTAGGTCAAAGCAGTTTTCTTCTGGCAATGCATGTTTTCTGTTATTGATTGCTTCTCCTCCCACAAACCAAAGCAGAATTTGACCATCCGCTGCACCTCTTGAGTGCTGAACAAAAGTTTAATTACTAGAGTGATATGGTGACTTACAGTCTACTCTTAACAAGTTGATTGTTCTGTTGCACTTGAAAAATTTTGTTCTCATTTTAGATACCATTAAATATTATGTCACCGAGGTGACTATTCGACCATCTGAGAGAAGTTTCAGCCCAACACCAAGGTAACAAATAAAACTAAAACCAATCAAATAATTTAGCTGGGTTTATGTTTTGGAAAGGATGCTAGAAATGCACTAACATTTTAGTTTCTTGAATAATTACATATAATAACAAACTGCTGTCAAATTTTATATAATCATCACAGAATTAAGCATTGTGAAGGTAATGTAGTCTGAATTCAGTCATGTACAACTTCGCTTGCTTGTCTTTGTGTGTGTTTGTGTGTGACGCAGGAGTCACAGTGACGCAGTGTCTCACTATTCAGGTGATAAGCCAAAATACAATACTTACTTATTTTGAACTATTTAAATTTGTGTGATGTCTGGTGACTAACTATGGAAATGGAGAGTTACATTATGTAAAGTTAAATTAAAGCTTGAAATTTTTAATCGGAAGTGAGATTTTTGAATTTTCAACTAATTCAGTTTGAATTTAAAACTAAGTTGAAACAGAACTTGATCTAGCTATCTTGTATCATGTACTATGCATTAGTCACAGTTCTTTCCTTTTGTAAATTATATTTGAAATATGTGTATCATTCTGAACTTTGTGTTTGTATGTGTAAAATATAATAGTGAAAAGCTTTTAGTCAGCATTTGACATTTCGTGTTGGTCAAAATAAAGGATGTGGAGCAATTTAGACTGCTGATCTATTTAAAAATTCCTGTTGCAGGAAACAGAAAGTCCTCTGGTTTTGAGGGAGAGAAAGATAAAGAAGCTCCATCTCTCAATAAAGATTGTAGGATGTAGTGGATTTGTAGTATGGAGATACTCATATACTTGGACTGCATCAATATGAATGACTTTTCCCATGTAGTTGTTATGAAAACATATGATATGTGGTTAATTCTAAAACAGGTCTCAATTTGTACAGAGCATGGTTGCTCAGATTCTTGTGGAATTGTCCTCTGCTAAAAGCACGTTTAGATTCACTGTAACAGGGGATAATGGAAAAATCTATATTCTGGTAAGTGTTTTTTTAATCTTTATCCTGCTGACAAAACCTATGAATTCCAGCTCTTAAAATGTATTATTTATGCTGTTCATGATTCTATGTTTCAAGAAAATTAATGAATTTAAATTCTAGAAGTAGTTCTGAAGAGTTCTGTTCAAGTAAGAAGTTTCCTCCCATTTTTTAATCTAAGTAGATGTACATATAGAAATTTTCACTGTTAATATAGCAATGGAAGTACTACAGATGCACCACAAGTAGCACAGAAATAACAGTGTTTTGTATTCAGAAAATATAGAAAGCTTAAGTTTTGACTTTATAATATATATCTCATCTTCTTGCTCCAGTGCTTCTTATCTTTAATCACCAGTTCATCAAATTGTGTGGCATCTTTCACAAATATTGTTTTAAGTCAGCAGACACTACTAATTTAGTCAGTACATTACATTGCAAAGTGAAGTGCAAACAAAAATAAAATTGCCTATTATACGTAATGTTCTAATACTGTTAAACTTGTTTAAGCTTGATATTTAAATAGTGACAGCTAAATTCCTCAAACTTTTAAGATGGATAGGAATTTGGGTCTGGAATTATCTTAATACTATAAACTTGGTATAACCAGGGATGTTTTCTTTTATTCATGAATTAAATATAGGCATAGAATTTGTAATTTTGCAATTTATAAGAATAATTCATAGACACAAAGATAAAGAAATACATGATTGTAGATTCCTGCCCTGGATAAACTTATAGATGCACTTTGTTGAGGTAGGCAATCTAATTAAATAAACTGTTTTATATATATGTTGTCCAAGTTCTATAATTTCTGAATATCCAGATTCTGAGGTAAGTGTATATCTGTTGCTTTTAAATAAATTTTAGTGCCAAGATAACATTTATGCAGCCACTGAGAAATACTTCTTCTGTGATGATAAAATAAGGTCTCATGAACAGATCCATAATTGTCACTATGTATAACCTAGTTGAGGAGTCATTAAAAATTGTTGCGATTTTTTCCTTGTAGCTTATGTGTTTCCAAATTACCTAATATTCTGATGCTTAGGTCTAGTAGCTTGCATAGAACAAACTGATTATTTTCCAACAGAAAAATCACCTTATTTAGCAGGTTGCCATTACTTTTAGCTCTGAGTTGCATTTTTGCCAACGTATTGATTAGAGGAGCAGGCTGAATTAGCATAGGGGCTGGCTTCTGATTGGCATCCCTTTCTTTTTCTGAGTGAGTTATTAGCTGGGGTTTTTTTTTGTGTGTTTAACATCAGAAAGCCCTTACTCATGTCCAGGCTGAGGTTCTAGATTCTGTATGTACACCAACAGGTATTCTGGAGTCATGGGTTAAGTCTTAGGACTCAGAGGCATTGTGCACACAAGTATAATGTAAGCACTGTTTATATTAATGATTGCAAACAGCTAAACAGTAAAAAATGTAGGTGCTTGAGGCTATGAGTACAGGGCCAGGTTGGACAAGTGGTCTCATCACTGAGGCATCATGGACCAGCTGTCCCACTTGTTTGTTTTGACAATGAGCCAAAGATTCTCATTCACAGTGTTTGTGCTTACATATGTGAATGCACACAGCTTAGGCTGTGTATGTGGTAGTTAAGGTCTCTCACAAGTCTTTTTAAATTTTTTTTTTTACCACAAATATTATGTATACTCATTTTTCTTTTTTCCTCTGCATGTATCACTTAACATTACCAGATATGCTATTTGCAGATACCATAATATGAGTTTCTGTTGTTTAAGTTGGTGACAGCCAAGTTCCTGGAAGCTATATACTACTTATGTGGTTTTTTTTAAAGGATGACAATAAATAAAAGTCTCTTTGTCTCAGGAAAAAAAAGTGGCATATACAGATTTCCTTATTTATCCTAACTATATCTCTGCCCTCTTCACATTCTCTAAAAGATGAATCACTTGCCTCCTCTCTTTGCTCCACCGTTAAAGGGTTCCCTAACTTGCAGTTTCATGGCTTACAAGCTAAGAATAAGATGAGGAGAGCAAATGGATAGTGAGATAGCAGAACACAAGTGAAATGGTACATTATTGGTCAGCATAGCAGCGTCTCAACAGATGTAATTTTTTTCTGTTCTATAAAAAAGGATAGGTTTGAAAGAGGTAAATAAGTAGTTTTGTAGATAGATACAAGGAATTAATCCCATGCATGGTATCAACCTGATAAAACCCAGAAAGATACATCTGTGAAAATCAAAAGGTGCGTGGTAGAGTTTCGAGTGTTTGAATACTAACGCCAGTCTTTCAGTACTGAATGAAAGATGGTTTTTGAAGTGGGATTAGGCTGTAAAGTGCTTTAAAAGTACAGCAGCTTGTATTTCAGGGGTGAGTGGAGAGGGAGTGGGAAGACATCCCAAGAAAATAAATATGTAACAAAATGGGAGAGACCTGTCAATCAGATACTGATTCTTGGACCATGTCTTGGAGGGCATGAGCAGAATAAGTTTGCATTTGTCAGGGTTGGAGAGGGAGACGTTGCAGTGATCAAGATGTGAGGTAATGAGTACCTTGTTGACACTTCACTACACAGCTCTCTTAGAAAGCTTTATTCTTTGTGAAGTATGAGGAAACCACATCTTTATCTAAACAGTCTGAATGTGAGGACAAAGAAGCTATAATGGAAGATGTTTGCATTACTGACCTGTGTGATGACAAAAGTAATGGTAATGTCTGCAATAACTGAAAAAGAACAAGCAAGGAAGAACCACAGCTTTTTATAGCCTTGGTAAATTCATATTGATGCCTAATTGTTCACAAATTGATGCTGGAGACGCAGGTTGAGATTTTAGGAAAATGACCACGGAATGTAAATCGTAGTATTTCACCTGTTTGGATCAAGTCCCACAAAGTGTAACAGATTTGTTGCAGCTTTTCTCCTAAGAACATCTTTGAAGGCTATTGACAAGGTGATTAATAAAACAACCAAAAAAACACCAACAAAAAACCAAACATTTTCTCCTGATGCTGTGATTTCAGAAAAGGTCATCAATCTGCACTATGGATGAATTCTAAACTTTTATATTTTTATCTTTCTGTAAAGGTTCTTTTCTTCCTGGAGTTAATAGGAAAGGAATTTGATTGTGCAGGCTCTGCTGTACAAAGAGGAAGGAATGATTGTACATTGTCAGTAACATAGTTGAAAGCACAAATCAAAATCTGAAACTATGTTAGCCAGAAGAAACACGTATAAACTGATTTGGGTCAACAGATGGAGTCTTGGTGAATGATTGTTCATTCAGACCAAAGGCAAGATCAAAAAATAATTCATGCATGAGGAAAAGAAGGAAATTATTGCTTAAAGAAGCAAATGTAGTTCAGAAATTGATTTTTTCTCAAGGCCAAGTGTCCTTCCACCACAAAGATTCATTTGCTTTCTCTGTATTGTTTGCTAAATTATTAATATAGATCTGTTGCATTGCTGTTGAGACAAAGATAGACTCTGAACAAGTGGTGGAACATTATTGTCAGCTGCCACATATTAACAGTTGTGGTAGAAGGAAGTACTTTTCAGAAGGACCGTGCTGCCAATGACATGGTTTTTTACTTTCTCTGAAGTAAGTTGCAGAAAGATTCTGAAAGGAGCAGACGGCTACTGCTGCATTGGTCCGTAGACTAGTTTGAAGGATATTCCCCTTCTGAAAAGCATCCCAGGTGGCTCCTTTACACAGAACTGTTAATAATTTCAAAAGGAAGGAACTCTTTTGAGTTAAAACTAAGCATGTTGGCAGTGGCCTGCGTGTATAGGACACTTCTCTTTTTTCCAGCACCTCTTCAACGCTTGGCTTAAAGCACCGTGTGTAATGGTGCTAGCTAATGAGATATATTTTGCAGTTTAGGCTATGAATGTGTACAGTGAGTTACCAGAGCAAAACTGATGAACAGCCACTTGCTAAGCCAAGTGCAGTTGCTTGTCATCATTTATGTGCTTATGCTAAAGTGATTCTCCTCCTCCCATCCCCTCCCAAGACATCTTTATCAATATATCTCATTCTCCTTTATGAAACTTCCACTGTAATGTTCTGAGCCTTGGGCTCTGATAAATTGTGACTGTCACATTCAATTATGACAAATACCATGTGTCCTGTTAACGGTGGCTTTCTCCATCCACAGGGGATATCGTATGTCTACTACCTAACATCATGCAACTTGTTTTACTTGAAGCCGATTAGGTCATGAGCAGCAGATTACTCTCCAGTGAGCAGCACTGCATAAACCCTGTTTTCTATGATAAATATTTCATATATAAACATTTTATACAGGACTTGTAAAAAATTATTTTTGTGGTAACTCAGATCACTAATGCAGGCTGTGAATAAAGGAAAAGCCTGACTCTTTTGTACAGTGTTTAGCGTGAAAGCCCTGAATCCAAGTTGGAACACTGATGCACAGTCACACAAAGATTAAGAAAGACCCATAATGTGACGCAAAAAGTTCAGATTTCTCAAAACTCTCCCCGGTAAATCTCTCATGAATTTGCTTGTGAGCAAGTAGTGCTGAAAAATGCCAGTCCCATTATCAAATTTATAAAGATTGATTTTCCAAGTAAGGGTCTGTTGCAGCCATTTGTAGATCCCACCGTTCCTTATAGACTACATTAATTATTGTCTTTTTCCTTGCATGTCTTAGCTCCATCCAGTCATAGCTATCACACTTTTTCTAAAAATCCTTAATTTTTGGCACTTCCAGTGGGCAGTTTTCAGTTCCTTGTCTTTAGCCCTCGGTTGTTCAACGCCATATGCTCGACTAATTCCTAAAAACCAATGAAATCAGAGAAATAATCCATTTGGTACTGAAACAGATGACTTGGGACTGTTTCTTTTGTTGCTATCAAAGGGAATGTGCTACAGCCACAACAAGAGGCAGCTTCACAGAAATAATGATCATAAGAGTGACTGTGATACATCAGGCATCGGTTTATTGTATTAACCTGTTTTTCTCCACTAGAGGCTGTGCCAACTGCGCTGAATAATAAAATGTCAATTTGTATCTGTTAACACTTTGTTAGAAACTTTGTAAGAATGTGGCTTTAGTATAAGCTGATTTAGGATCAGAGTAAAGGAACAAATTGAAATTGATGTAATCTACAGTAAAATAAATTATTTCTTCATTTATAGATATGGCTTTTAAATTCTGACACATTGCTGGTGGAGTCTTTAGGAAGTTCCTCCTCCCACAGTGTTTTTACACTGTTTGGGGATATTTTCATGCCTAGTTCTGGACCAGTGGGGACCTGGAATGCTGTCAAAGTTCTTTACCAGCCGTGCATTAAAAGCAAGAATAAGGAGTAAGTACAGCCTTTTCTGACCTCAGCTTCTGATCTTTGATTTGTTTTGCATTTCAGGGCAGCAATATCTCTTTGAGGTTCTCTGGACAGTCCATTAATCTGGGAGATGTATCTCTTTGAAATTGCATACCATTTTTTCAATTATTTTTGGGTTTTTTTAAGCAAAATGCCAGAGGAATAGTATTTGGTTTCTGTAACAGCCAGAGAGAATCTGGCTGTTAAATTTTTGCACTGGAATATTAAAATGTAGACCAAAGAGTTATGTTGTTTCTAGGAGCACTTGTAGATAACTAAGGTATATGATACAAATAGAAGTTGTCTCCGTTACACAGGAGAGTAATGTGCTTTTTCACTTATGCATTTTTTTCCTGTGTTAACTCACTGCATTTTTAGAACCTGGTCATTTTTCCAGCTCTGTTGGCAGAAGCTGGAAGGATGGTGGTGCCATGAATCCCACAGAGGGGCAGTGAGTGCTGTCCGTGTGGTCTCAGAACATGCTGCTCTGCAGCTGTAGCTCCAGGTGATGTAATTCAGGGAGGAGGAAAAATTGAGGGGAGATAAGGAGCATGGGCTGACTCCTGAATGAAGCGTAAACTTAGCCAGATCTCCCTCTTTGCCTTCAATTTCTGTCTTTTGTGTGAAAATCTGATCTCATCTGTCAAGTTATTTATGGGAGTAACCCTCTCTGAAGACCCACAGTAAAGAATTTGGACCTCTTTGGTACAGCTGAAACCAAGAGGTGGATAGTTACTAGTTTAGCATATTACACCTGCCCGTTCCAGCTTCAGTCTTGACCTTTTTTGCCTTAAAATTATGCTTTGTTTTGCAAGAGATAGAGCTGTTCACAGGATTGGAATTTCTCTGTTTAAGCCAAGTTATCTTCAGTAGTACAGGTGTTGTCTGGTGGGTCGCAATAAATTATTGTGGTGATCATCTTTCTATACATGGACAATGCATCTAACAGTGTCCCTGTTAAAAGATACTTGTGCATGTAGCCTAGCAGAATGGTATGAATAATACTATATAAGTATAGCACACTCTGAGCATATAGCATATCTGCAAAAGGAAAGTCCTTTCTAGATACAATTCAGAAGTTCCTTGAGTTACCTGATTAGCCTCTCTGTGTTTAACTTGCTTTCAGCCCGGTCGTTATTATTTCAAAAAGAAACAGGGCCCTGAGAGAAGGGGAAAGGGAAGAGGCAAGGAAGATGGTTGAGTACAATGCCATATAAATGTTTTTCTTGGATGTGTCCAAGTCTACTGGAGCCCTCATAACGCAAACATTTGATTTCAGCAAGCTTTGAAGTCTACATTATGAAAAACATACACTGCCTAACATGTTAAAGCCTTTATCTGTTGGAGAGCAAGATAAGAGAATATTGATTAAGCAGTGGCTCCAGTGTTTGCAGATCATGGCATATGATTTTAGCATAATTTTCTGCTTTTGTTTCTGCAGTGATAGAAGAGACAGCATTGTTTTTGTATAGGTCACACTTAAATAGTGGTTTGGTTTTGTTGTTTTTCCTTTAAAGTCTTGGAAACAGGTGACAGATTTAAAGAGTACGAATGTATTTAAAATCTAGAAGACATTCCCTCCAGACTCAATCAGTACCCAACTGATTTATACCCCAAGACCTCATAAAAGTACAACAAAAATGTTGTCTCACACAGACAAGCAAACATGTACGTATGAATTTAAATACTTTTGTAGGAGAAACACACACCTTACAAGAATGTGTGATTCATCGTAGTGTTTATCCTGAATGTTGCCAAGTGTATCCTTTTTATTTTTCAAACAGATCCAATACTGAATACCTGAAATAAACTCTGATATAAGGAGAGAATGCAAAATTTAATATTTAGAAAAAAGGTCATACTACACTATTAATGTTATTCCTCTAAGAGAAAAAATTACCTTCATTAATGTAGTGGCTTCGGAAGTTAGCATTGGAAAACCTCTGTGATCTAAATGTTACTTAGTTATCGAAAATAGCATCTTAAAGTATTATCTTTTAAACTGCTTATTCTTAGAATGGGAGATATTGCAAGAACCACTACCTGCTCTAAAATGAAACATAGTTCACTTACCACTCTTAAGTCTTACATAAGTGTAACTTGCAGTTTTACTTTTGAAGTTTCAATTCTTTCTTACTGAGAAGATTTAATTACCTTAACACACGTTCAGTTACTTTGACATGATATTGAGGTAAAAGTCATATCTACTTAGTCACTTACCTAGCATTCACAAATGCTTTTCTTGAATGGAGTTCTCAGCAGCAGAATTTTACTGTGAGATTATATCCAGTTATTTCCATTTCCCCAGACAGACTTGTTACAAATCACTTGCTTCTGAAGATTACTTTGTATTTATCTTTGGGATTTTGCAGTAAGCAGAAGGCACAACTGAGGTTTTAATTCTCCTCTTACAGTAATTGACATCTTCCCTGTCCAGTCCCTGGACAAATGCAAAAATGGACAAGAAAGAAGAGAAGGTTCTTTTTAAGGTCCAGAAATCAAAGTAACTATTGCTTTCGCATTGTTTTCCCATTTTTATATTTCTAGTAAAGAACAGTAAAAAGGACACGAGCGCTTCAATCTGTTTCCACTAACTCATTTGTCAGTTGGCTTGAGATACTGCCTGGATCCGTGCAATAAGGTTGAAGTCTTTCTGTATTCTATTAACAGGAATGTTAACACAGCAGAAACAAAAATATCAAAACCAGTACAACTTAGTTAATACAGTGTGTTTGCATTTAGATCTCAAATATTATTTCAAGAATTCTGAACAAAGTGTCGGATTTCTTGAATAGTGCAAGTTCCAAATGTTTCAGATGTCCGCATTCTGATAATAATTATAATACTTACCTTGCTTGTTTCTGCACACATGCTTGCCTTTGAAATAACGCAAAGGTTTCAGAGCCCATGGTCTGCTTCCCGTGAGTGGAGAGTAAGCAAGGATACCTCCTGTGTAGGCAGCAGTTCAGCCAGAGGTCTGCTTGCGACCCAGACCCCAACAGTTGCAAGGGATAAGCGCGCAGTCTAATATCCTGTTGGATGTCAGAGAGCCTCTTCAGTTGTCGCGAGTCACTGGGTACACCTGGGGCCTGTCCGATTCCTGCAGTGCCAGAATCTGATCTGTGCGATGGGAGGGGAAGCACCTTTATCACCTGCGGACACAGCAGAGTCTGTGCTGGGTGGCTGGATCATAGGTTCAGACAGATTAGGGTAATAGAGAAATAAAAGCATTTATTTGAAATATCTAAATTTAATAACATAATCACACAATTGTGATTCACATGGGTGAAGAAGTGAAAGAAAATCTGTACTTAGTCTACTTACACAAGCATAAATCTACTTACTCTGAGATAAATACATGGGTCCATGGAAGCAGTTGAGGTCTCGGGCTTTGTGAAATCATCCCCTGGCAAGCTGCCTGTACACAAGAGATCCTAATGGGGATTGCCTAATGATTCACATTCAGGCACCCCATTTTTGAAGTAACCCTTGTATTCAGATTCTTTGGGATGCACTTGAATATTTCTCTTGGGGGGCGCATAGCGGCTTTTATACATGATCTTTCTTTTCAAGGCTTCTAGAATGTCAGGAGTAATTTACAGTCTCACTCCAAAACTCATTTTATTCCTTCTTTATTCAGAGCACAGTTTTGCAATTATTCATAATTAGCATAATGCTTGTTTTTCTTCATCAGATATGGAAGTGTTTTTTTCCCTTTAAACTAGGAATTATGTCCTGTGAACAACACTGTGCTTCAGTGAGCAACAGAACTCTCTTTCCTGCAGTAAATCACTGGCATATCTATCACTGTACCTTACATGCAGTATTACTCTAAATGTTAACAATGCAAAGGAAACAAACATTTGAGTAGGATAAATGTTCATGGTTCATTACTGGCTGCTGAGTGATACCAGACACAATGATAATTAACCCATTTGGAGCAATAGCTGTTTGGGGGTGGCTGATCCCAAAGCTTGCTGTAACAAAACTGTGTTCTGAGGCTGAACGTTGCTGAGAAGGTGATAACCCCTTGTGTGGCGTCTACTTTTTTATCGACACCATGCTGATCTGTGTTCAAATTGTTGATCTGCTGACCATCAGATCCTTTCCAGCAGATTGCAGTCTAATAAGCAGCCTTTCTCTCTGTTTTTGTACAGTTGTCCTTTGTCAAATTACATCCTAATTTGGTTCAGAACCTTTTTGCCTGTTGGTCATGGCCATTTTGATTTCCAACATGTGGTGTACTGATGGCCCTTCCCAGCTTCATGTGGTCTGTGAATGAAAGAAGCATCTGTCTTGTACCAGTTTCCGGGAAGGCGACTGAGATATAGGACTAAACTAAGAACACATCACGTGGAGCCTCTCTCCATATACTTTTGTTTTAACAAGAAATTATTAACAGTTGTGCTCTGGGTATTCTCTTAAGAATGTTCAATAGCTTTTAAGGCATTGCGAAGTTAAGCCATGGTTAGGTATATCCAGACATGCTAGTTATAGTGTGGCTCTTGGCATTTCTGCTTGCAGAGCCCTATTCCTCACATCTTCCTGAGGGTAGCCTGTAAGTGTTGTATTGATTTGTATCTTCCTCCTTCAGCTGTTAAACAGGGCTAGAAACACGTAGGTGTGTCTTATGTGTGATAGCACAAGTGCTGGGGAGGTCTGTCTACAGTTAGGCTTCCAGCCCTTGCGGGAGCTTTATGAGCAGTTCTTCTACAATAAATTAGTTGAAATTATATGCTGTCATTTCTTCTTGTCACCTATGAAAAAAGTGTGTTATGAGTGTAGTTGAGTCCCATTAAAGAAGGATGCCTCATGCATTTTCTGCTCCGTTCTTACTTAGATATTTATGGATGGTGTGTATGTGATTACGTTGGTTCCCTCCACTTTTCTCTCAGCAAGGCTCCTTTTCTTCACCTACAAATCTGCTGTGCAGGCAGAAGAGGTCTTCCTTTCAAGTAACAGGTTCTTGGCAAATAACATCTTATGCAA